TTTATGGTCTCACGTCGTTAGTCGATGGTCCATTTAGAGCTAGTGAAGAGTGCTTTAGGGCGGGACTCCCTTGTGATTGACAGATATCTACCACGGCGTTGTGCTTGTTGTCCATGATGCTCAGCTCCTCCCTCTCGTGTCACTTCCGGTTGCTAAAAAACAAGATGGCAACGGCCGAAATTCCAACGCCACGTGAACGCTTCCACTTCTTACGGTCCACGCTGAAGGACGGCAACTAAACCTTGAGTCGAGATTCAAGCATTTTAACATCAACGTGCTCGTCCTCAATGTGTCGGTAACTTCCAGACGCCCGGACGCCCGAATTCACAAAAACGATCCAATTTGACTGAAAACATACGGGAGAGAAACAAAGAGACAGAGATGAGGAAGGAGGACGGACAGATGGATTTAAACAGAAGTATATGCAAAGAGAAAGAGAGGAGATGGCCAGAAGGAAGAGGGGGAGAGAGGAAGAGGGGGAGAGGAGGAGAGGAAGAGGAGGAGAGAGAGGGAGGAAGGACGAAATGGAGAGAAACGAGGCATTGCGAGACAGAGAGAGATGAATAATTAAATGAGCCTGTTTGGCTGGAGAAGAGAGGAGACACGGGGGATGAAGGGAGCAAAGAGGAAGAGGAGGAGGAGCCAGATGAAGAGGAGGAAAAGGACACAAGTGTGGCACAAACACACACACACGCACACACAGACACACACAGACAGAAGAGGAGAGGGAGCCGTCTCACACGTACGCTGTAATGTGTTCAAATTTACACACACAATTCAGCGCGCAATTATCACAAGTACTCTCACACACACTCTCACAATCATCTGTGTCTGATACACACACACTCACACACACACATATCTCTGTGTCTGATACACACACACACTCACACACACTCACATATCTGTGTCTGATACACACACACACACACACACACTCACACACACACATATCTGTGTCTGATACACACACACACACACTCACACACACACATATCTGTGTCTGATACACACACACACACACTCACACACACACATATCTGTGTCTGATACACACACACACACACTCACACACACATATCTCTGTGTCTTCCATGTTAGATATCAACAATCGCACACATACACACACTTGATTTACTCAGAGATGAGTGACTGCGAGATCACACACACACACCCACGCTGTTCCTGCTGCCAAATCACACACACACACACACACAAAATCCTATGAACACACACATGCCCACGCGTGCCATATTGAAAAAAATAATTAACCATCTGACACACGCACACACGCTCCTGTGCCTGCCACATTGAATCGCACAAACACACCACCCCACTTCATGTAGCAAGGACTCCACTGCAATTGACTGCAGGGTCTCCTCTCGCACACCTGAACAGACACACACTGTACACACACGTACACACACTTGACAGCCCTTTTCTAGAAATCAAAGAAAAAAATAACACGCAAATAAATGCACACTCACTCTGTTTTCTCCAAAATAACGCATGTAGCGAATCCAACACACACACACACACACGCAAACACACACACGCCACATATATGTTTCATGTCATATGAAGAGAAATAAAACATTCTACACACACTGCAGGAGTCGCTCGTACACACAGAATGCTCCTGTGGCCAAAACGCACACATCTCTTAACACACGGACACACACACGCACACACACACACACACACACACACACACACACACACACTATGCTTTCCTGTCACGTGCAAACATCCACACAAACATTTTCAAGAGCACCACATAAATGCATAAGGTAAAACCACGCACACACACTCACACGTCCAGTAACACACAGCATCATTCTGCAGCTTCTCGGTACAAGATCATCAGGAAATGAAAAGCAACGGATGGAAAAGAAGACATTTAAAAAGCCTTTAGGATGGAAAGAGGAAGAGGAGGATTTCCTTCCTTTACCTGCCGCCTGTGCGTGTGTTCTGCCTCTCACGGCAACCCAGAAAAACACTGGAGGAGGCAGAGCGAGAGAGAGAGAGGAGAGGAAAAACAGGAGAGGAGGAGGGTGAGATCTGGGCCGGGGGGGAGGGGGGGGGGGAGGACTCAGAGGGAGATGGAGAGAGAGGAAGAGGAGGCGAAGAGGAGGGTTAATTAAATAGGAGGAGATGGACGGAGGGCTCTGATGAGGGGATAAGGACGGGGTGCAGAGGCTCGTCGCCCCACGGAGGAGGTAAAAATAGACGAAGAGGGGACCGGCTGTGTGTGTGTGTGTGTGGCTCCCTGTTCTTCTTCTGTGGTGCTGCAGTGGGGTTCAGCCGCTCGTACATACAGTTACATAATCCATCCCTCTCCACCACACGATGATGAAGTGTGTGTGCTCTGAAAACCTGAACGCCCATCATTCGCTTGTGTTGAGTCTCCAGGCCACCTCGTTGCTGCCCTCGAGCAAGGCACGCCACTGAAAACTATGCTTACTGATAACGCTTTACTCCTGTGGTCATTTCATTTATTCAGTTATTATTCTACTAAACTGTGTAATTTCCTGTGAGGACATAATTTTATTTTGAAAAGACCTCGGCCTCGGCGTGAGGAGTGGAAATCCATTTTTTTAGATGTCACATGAACTGATTGGTTGATGAGCTACTTTGATGGTGGCATGTATGAATCTCACCGTCAACAACACCTTTAATCACAATCCCGACAACAGTTGAGCTTTTGGTCAGACGCCATCTTGTTATTTTGAAGATGAAATGAGAGGGGGCGGAGCTAAGTGAACAACTGAATTGCCACAATTAACTTCCATGACGTGAAAACACCCAAACACTTCCCAGGCCGGACATCGCCATGGCAGCACCCTGTCAATCAGCCTGTAGCCCCGCCCCAAGACAGCAGTCATGTCCTTTTCTCATGGACTTCTATACAACCAGAGTGCAGTCTGCCAGTGGGGGGCATCAGGGGCAATGCTCGTTTTAGGGCACTTCCTCGTTGCACAACGCAAGCTTGCTGCCTGTTGTAACATGTCTGGGGGCGTCGTGGCGCAGGTAGAGGGGGAGCACCGGCAACCGCAAGGTTGGTGGTTCAAGCCCCAGCTGCCCTGTTGACGTGTCCTTGAGCGAGACACCTAACCCCTAATTGCTCCAGGGGCAAAAATGGAAAAAAGATATGGATTAGAAATGCAATGTAAGTTGCTTTAGATAAAAAGCACCAGCTAAATGTACTGTAACAACATGAGTTGTGTTGCTATGGTTACCTGTAGTTTACCTGGTCGATGGACTCCCTAAAATCTGCAGACCAAGAGTCGGCCGATACTTCATCGTAGATATCATCGTTGTTTTTTGCCACCACGTGTCTGTGTTTACTATATCTGTACTAATACAGTGAATCATACGTTGTTTATCGATGATAAAATCCCACAATAAGCAAATATCCCGATTTGGACGTGTTAGTATGTGGCGTGGTGATTAGTTTAACTTCCTTTGTGCATGTTGAGCTGCGTCCTTCCTGCTCTAAAAACAGACTGGGGGAGCTGTTGATGCCGACCGGAGGCCGACACTGATGCACATTGACAGGCCAACAGGGCGAAGCCAGCGAGCGCTTCATGTGTGTGCCTCCGCGTCTTTGTGTGTTACCTTGGTGTATTACACGGGTGGGTATTTTAATCTTGGTGAAGCATTATTTTTTATTTACAAGTATTTCTGCGTGTGTGTGTGTGTGTGTGTGTGTGTGTGTGTGTGTGTGTGTGTGTGTGTGTTGGAGTGTGAGAAAATCTAATAATTAATTCCTGAGTTTATGGGATTATCCGTTGGGAGACAAACAACGTCCTTGACATGCATCACCCCGGTTAGCCACGGGTGAGGGACTGATAAAGAAGAGTGAGAGAGAGAGGAAGGGAGGGAGGGAATGATGGAGAGAGACAAACCGGGAGGCAGCAACAAAGAGAAGAAGAAGAAGAAAAAGAGCAGGGGAGGAGAGATCAAAGTTCCGTGAAGAGAAGCCTTAATGGAGGGTAACGGAGAAGTGCCTCGCATCGTAATTATCTCATTTTCTGCTGCGTTGTCGCTGAAGGTCGACTGGCCTTTTCCCTCAATGAGCTCCCCTCCATTAACAGCACCAAGACCGCTATGCTACATGCTAACAACCGGCCCCCATTAAAGGTAGCATGGGCTGCTATGCTATGCTAAAAACAACCTCCAAGTCAAGATCCCACATTTACATAATGATGGAAATATTTTATTAGAAAAAAGTAAAGTGAGTGTCTGGAATAAAAAGTGTAGCATGTCACTGCCGTTGGAGTTTGTGTTACTTCTTATACACAATTTGCACTCTTCCCATGTAATTTACTTTAATGTGTGTTTACTGGATTCGCCTTACGTTAATCTTCCTATTTATTTTCATTACTAAGTTGTTTTCTTTTTAGTGGTTATTCTTATGTTGTTTTCATGTACAAGCAATCTCTTGCAAAATATTTTCCTTCAGGATTAATTAAACAGTTAATTAATAATGAATGGTTTTATTCTCGGTGGAGCGGTCTGTACTTCATCTCCCTCTGGTGGTCACTGAGGAACCTTCAGTCTGTCGTAGTCCTCCACCGACTGAGCCGTTCATGAGGACCGTGTGTACTATGTGTAAATAAACTAAAAGCCACGACGTTAGGAGCTACACAATAAACCACAAATATTTGGTTAAACCTCAGTGAGCCTCCAGCCTCAGACTACCTCCCGATTGTAACACAGAGAAGATGCCGACTGCACGAACCCTAATGTTGCATTCGGGGACCATTATGTTAAATGGGGGGGGGGGGGGGGTAATTTCTCTTTATGGACGTGGTCGTTATTTTCTTCTATGTGAAAATAATGTATTCTGCCCCTTCAAATCAACCTCAAAGGTCAGAATACGATCTTATGGTTAGAAAGTAGTAGCATTACGTTTTCACCTGGAGCCCCCCGCTTCCACTTTAGCGCCAATAAATCCAGCGGAACCCGAACACACCAAGAATCACATTTCCGGCTTCCGCGCCGAAGAGAACCGACGTTTACTGGAAGCACTTGAACGCGGCGGAACGTTACCATCAATCCCGAGGCAAGGAAGAGACGAGGTAGCAACCCGGACGGTCTTTAACTGCGATTTACCGAATATGTATTAATTAAACATCAGCGACGACGCCGCAATATACTTCAGACCAACGCTTTCGTTTTTTTGTGACAACCGCGATGGTTAGCCCGCTGCCTGCTAACTATGCTAATAGCTGTCACAACAAACGGTTTCATTTAACGTGACGTTAGCTAACTCTTGCTAGCTTCTGCTGTTAAGTTAGATCTCCGTGGGAAAAAAAGTTGTCGGTGTTTGTGAAGCGGAGAGACTTTGTTGTTCCGTGTGTCGACGTACACGCCAGGCTGTTCGTTAGGGCGGTGTCAAACTGATTTAAACCGGGTTTTGTTTGTTGTTGTTGTTGTTGTGGGTGGGCGTCTGCTAGCTACGCGATAGCCACCGACACAGCTTAACGTAGCGCTAGCTAACGTCTGCTAGCTCGGTCTGCTAGTCAACCTTTAGCCGCCTTTAAATGCCGCTAACGAGTGATATATATCTATATCATCTATATAGATCTATAGATTAAAAACAAAGCGCCAGCCGTCGGTACAGACCATAATCCGTGTTTGTAAGTAGTCGCTACTCTGACAGAAGAGTGTCATCACGTTAGCTAACCTTAGTGGGAACGTCCCTTAGAGATCAGTTAAAATATTAAAGCTTAGTTAACTATCGCAGCGATGACCTCATTCATTCCGTATCTAAACGTTGGCAGTTCCTTACGGAAAGAGGATTTCATCATTTCTTCATTATATAGAAACTGAAAGCGCCTAACAACAGTTTGAACCATAGATAGTCGGAGTAATAGTTTATTCTCTTTGATCCATTTATCATTTCAGTACAATTTCATTCATTAGAAGAATGATAATCTTGAAGAATATTAAGTATCTGCAGCAGAGCACATGTGCATATCTAAAACAATACACACAAAATAAAACCATATCTACATTATTTTGAAAAAGTGTGTGTCTATGACCATGTAGACACATCATAGACGAATAAACAGACACAACTTGAGCTAACAATTTTGTGATTAATTGTATCGTGTATGAGATGTGAGCATGCAGCAACGTTCTTGTACAGTCAAAATCCCAAATATACAAATGACAGTGAGACAGAAGAACCCTCACATTTTGAGGAGCTGACAAAATTTGACACTGATCATTTTCCTACTTCAACCAATCTAATGTAAATTTTCCGTAACTTGTGAATTAACAAGTGTAACAACTGTAAAAGATGACACTTTGTAGGGTTAAAGAATAGTAAGAACATCGATGAAAGTAATCCGTTCTGCTGCATCTCCAAGACCGAAGATGCATCTTGACGACGTGTTGAAGAAAACAACATTTCAAATACTTTGCATTTCCCCAGAATCGCTGCCTGTGTTTTGGGATCTCTAAATGAGTGAATTCCCTGAATCTTAACCGCTGTCACCAGTTAGCTTCTCCCTCACTAATCAGCCGAGTGCTGCTGCTGCCAAAAGGGCCTCCGGACAAAGAGCCAGTGACCAGGCGGCAGCCCGTGACCCCTTTTTCACCATTGTCCGGCTTAACGAAGCGCTGGCCGGCCGGCCGGCGAGAGTCACATGGTCTCCGGCGTAAACGAGAGTTGTCGTCCAAGACAAGTCGGTTGGGAGTCAGCTTATACCCACTTTAGTGTATTATTACCATCATCCAATCTGTTGTTTGCTACTGAGGATTTATGACATAATTACCCCAAAGTCTCAGTTTAATATGATATCAATGTTGCAATACTGAAGTGATTGTCAAATTAGGTTATACGTTGATTGTGTTGGGGGGGGGGGGTCAAACTGTCAAACTATCTTTTTGTATTTCTTAAGGGATATTTCTTCTTCCTCCTCAGATGCAGACCATAAAGTGTGTGGTGGTGGGTGACGGTGCCGTGGGAAAGACGTGCCTCCTCATCTCCTACACCACCAACAAGTTTCCCTCTGAATACGTCCCCACGGTGAGTAACCATGGCAACGCGTACAGGTTTCCAGTGATGCTTGTTCAGTTTGTGCGGAGAAAAACATTCCGTCAAAAATGCGCTCCTTCTTTAATATGGGATTGCTCACTTTGGGGTTTTATCTGTCACATGAATGTTGGTTTAAGAGAAGTTTTCTTCTGGAGGAATCTTGATCACGGATTGCATTTTCTGACTGAAGCGTGTGGGATTTACTGGTATTATGCAGGTTTTAGGAGGGCGGTCAAAGGAACGGAATATTCAGCACATGAAAACCAAGTCGAGGGAATAAATTTGCTTTGGGCCGATTCTTCGGATCGGAGCCCTCTTGAGTGTGTTTGTGTGCGTGTCTCTCCGTGCTTGTGATACGTGTGTGTCTGGTTGCCTCTGAGGTGTGTGAGGTCCGTTGTTGTCGCAGCACGAAGAGGAAGCGTCCTCACAGAGCTAAAGTCCAGACCCGTCCCCTCGGCCCGCGACCCGTCCTCCAAACTCTGGCTCTTTGTTTTGGGAAAACAGCTGACTGACTGTTGACAGGCGGGTAACGCTGCTGCCGGAGTGATCTCAAACCCACCCGATCGATGGGAAGCTTCGCCGCGTGCTGACGGCCATTTTCAGCGCTGCTCCGTCCCTGTCAGCAGGTCCGACCAGAGGGGGCCGGGACCAACAGCGCTGACTCAGCTTTAACTTCCTCTGCCTGTCCGTCTGCCTGTCAAACATTCCTCACTTGCATATATATATATATATATATATATATATATCTCACACTGCTTGTTGTCAGTTTATTAGGTACTGACGCACTTTGTCGAGCTGTTTATGTAAATAATGTAAATTTTGACACTTTTACCAACATTACAACCTATTTTTCTTATAAATGTTCTTAATTTCCAGAGGTGCTAATGGTTTACTGTAGTAAGTAACAACTGTGGAATTCAGTCGTGTTGTATTACAAATGAAAAACTAATTTGTATTCATTTAACTCCACCAAACACGTGTTTTAACTTATTTGGAACCATTAAGTCAGCTTGATGACTGAGTTGTTCATGGGAAAATGAGAGACGGCTCTTTAAATACTTCTTAATATTTGAAGCTCCTATGTTCAACGGCCCCTTCACACCGACCGATCAGGAACCTTCACGTCGCTGCTTCGTCATGTCCAGCCGCTTCCTGTCACCGACGACCGCCACAATAAGAGAAATCTGGAGAGAAGAAGTCTCTCCCTGTTGAGCTCGCTCGCCTTGTCAGATTAAAAACACGCGATGGGTGACATTTTATTTGCCTGCGACTCTCATCCGAGTGTGTGTGTGACACGTTGAAGGATATAAATCATTGGAGACTGTTTGTATAGTCGTAACACTCGGGGGCAGAAGCACTAACTGGACACTTCGCTGCGTAGCTGCAGCTCTTTTCCGGCGGACCACTTTGTTGTGACTGTTTCCAGCAGCTTCTGCAGCCGTAGCTCCGTCCACACGCATCGTCATCAAAAACGTGTGTGTGTGTGTGTGTGCGTGTGCGTGCGCCCCTTGATAAGCCACGCCCTGAAACAACATTTTCCGTTGAAAAATAATAACCACATTATAATTAAAAAACAAATAAGAAACATCCACTTTGTTAAGATGTTTGTCTGTTTTTCCGCCACATGCCTCTTGAAGACGATGATGAGTGTACTTCCTGTTTGCTCACGTCCTCCCCCCTCTGTCTCTCCTCCCCAGGTCTTCGATAACTATGCGGTGACGGTGATGATCGGCGGGGAGCCGTACACTCTGGGACTGTTTGACACCGCAGGTAAGGACGACGTCCTCGTGTAGGGTAACGCCGGGAGGAGGCCAGGCTGGGCTTCAGTTAACTAAAAAGCAAACGTTTATTCTTAAAAATAACAACCTTCCAACAGGAGAAACTGTATAAAAAACTGGTCTCGTTTGAAGGGCTGGTTCCCTCGCTGAGTAGTAACAAAGCTTAACAAGTGGACGCTGTAGCCATGACGACACCCTTTGATTTTATTTTTCCGATGTCTTTTGACCACCAGTGTGAGGAAGTGAACGCAAGAGATGCATCTCTAGAGACCTGTCAATCACAGTAAGCCCTGCCCTAAAGCGTCCCCTGCTTTATGGTCTGTTTGACTTTAAAGGGACCAGAATTCACTGAACGAACATCATGCTGCGTTGAAGAAGACTTTAAACTAGAGACTGAGACCATGAGCTCATGTTTACAATGTTTACTGAGGGAGTAAATCAAGAGAGAAGTAGTCATTTTCTCCAGAGGAGTCGCCCCCTGCTGGTCACTGCACAGATTGCCTCTTGAACGCAGCCTTCGTCGCTGGAAGTTGCCGCCCGGTCGCTGCTCGCTTCCCGTGAGTGTGTGCTTGCTGTTGATCAGAGAGCTGGTATGTCGCCCCCTGCAGGTCAGGAGGACTACGACCGGCTGCGACCTCTCAGCTACCCTCAGACCGACGTCTTCCTCGTCTGCTTCTCCGTCGTGTCTCCTTCCTCCTTTGAGAATGTCAGAGAGAAGGTGAGTGTGGTTTGGTCCAGTCGTTCGGGTTTTAATTCTAGACAACAGGTTGAGTTGATAGCTTTTGGCTCCAGGCTCCGCCCCCTCCGCCGTTTTCTTCAAAAGCCTCGTCCCTGTCTTCGCAGTGGGTGCCGGAGATCTCGCACCACTGCCCGCGGACGCCGTTCCTGCTGGTCGGCACTCAGGTGGATCTGAGAGACGACAGCAACACTCTGGAGAAACTGGCCAAGAACAAACAGCGAGCTCAGAGCTGCGAGAGCGGAGAGAAACTCGCCCGAGAGCTGAAGGCCGTCAAATACGTGGAGTGCTCGGCTCTCACGCAGGTGAGCGAATATATCAATACACGTTTAACACGAATGACCGCAAACAAGGTCCTTTTTGAAACGATTTTTTTAATTGATTTATTGAGTCAACAATATTAACTCGTGTATTCCCTCATTTATCTAATTAACTAAATTGGCTTGTTATTTATATTTATTGCCTCATTTATTTAATAGATTATATTGACTCTTATATATTTATTGTTATAGAAATTCCCTTATTTCTTACTTTACATTCATTTATATATTTATTGCCTCATTCATTGAACTCCATAGTTTATTTTTCTCTAAATCATGAATACTTAAAGTTAAATGTCATTCTATGATTCACTTTTTGGGGTCATATGTTTATAATATAATTATATCCCCCGTTTGTGGTATTTTCTCTTTTGTTAGAATCTGTACTCTTATTTATTTATTACAAAGTAAATAAATTAATTCCATTAAGTGTGTGTCTCTCTCGTCAGCGGGGACTGAAGAACGTGTTCGACGAGGCCATCCTGGCCGCTCTGGAGCCTCCGGACAACAAGCCCAAGAAGCGCTGCGTCCTGCTATAGACGGGCAGCTCGGGGGGGCCGGGGGGGCTTCGGGGGGGGTAGACGCATGTTTTACGCAGTGCCTTCAGCCGTAGTGACTTAACACACGTGTGGTGTTGGAGGAGACGGACATCATTATATATTATATTACATCGTGACTAACGCGTGTGAGCGACACTCCTCACTAACATTAAACAACAGGGAAGCGATTTTAGGAAGGGGGCGGGGCTAAAGAGCTGAGAGGTTTTTGGTCCGTGATCGAGGATATTAAAACTCCTGGTGAAACTGTTCCAAAATATTCATGCCAGGATTTTATAGAATGCAGAAAGTGTTAAGAGAGTTTATTATTATGGGGGCTGAGGTTCAACAAAACGAGAAATAAAACTTTCATTAACAATCATTAAAATAATAAAAGGGGAAAATTGAGGCAGATGAAGTCAGTAAAAGTAACGACATTCTTGCTGCACCAATGATCTTTGTTTAGGAGCCAAAACAAACCGACGCGGAGGAGCAACAACGTGATTGGTCGATACACATTTGCCGTGCGAGCGCTCCGAAGAACGGCGTAGAAGTGTCTTGTGATACAAACGGCAGTCGGTTAAAACATATTGATGCGCGAAGGCCTTTTAGATTAATGGCGTCTTCGACGTCCGTCCCGCTGAGACATCCGACAAAAGGACGCTCCATGTCGCACGAAAACTTGCCAAATGCCAAACTTCACCTCGTATATTCAATTTAATTCGCTGTGTCTTCCAGCAGTCGACTTAACTGCCTTTTTAAATGTCCATCAACGCTGCCGCGATGCTTGAATCCAGTTAAATGCGCGTTTTCAATGGGCCTTCGTTAGGAAACTGGTACTAATGGCGACCAGCTCTTCACCTCCTCCTCCTCTTCCTCCTCCTCCCACATAGACACTTTGTCGGTGGGACGTCACCTCTGACCCTGTTTACAGTGGACGTCGTTAAAGAGCAAACGTTTCACACTCCGCCCCCTCACTGCGTTGCTCGGGGGGGTAAAGTCCGGTCGCCGCCATCGATGGGTTCTTCTCCATAAATTGATTTACGTTGCTCAATGAACCGGCACCACTAACTGGTTCTGATGATGATATATTTTTGGTAACTGGATTATATTTCCTGTTTCAATCAGCCCGGAGCAAAAGGAAAATTACTTAAACGCTCAAACTGAGAATATTCCCCATTAAAATGAAACTAAAACTCCACTTTCCTAATTATATTTTCTTGTTTTGGAGATTCTGATGGATGATTATAAGTATTATATATATTTCTTTTATTGTTTCTGGGTGCGGTCTTATTTTAGCTGTTTCGAGGAATTTCTTTTTAGATATTTTTTTATTATTACTTGACGGTTGAGTGCCAACAGTTTGAGAACAATTCTTAATAAGAGCTGAAGCAATAATGACACATGTGCAGAGATTAATGTTGGAGCTGTTGGGTGTTTGCAAATAATAAAAACAGTACTTGAATGTTGTTTTTCTTTTCTGCTTATTTTCTCCCATTCTATTATGTCTTATTTTACTTGGAATAAATCAACAACAATGCCTCAAACATTTATTTAAAAAAAGTAATGATTTAGTGATTGAGGGACATAATAATAATACTGGCAGATTTAGAATTTTCAATCATTTCTTTTCACAGTAATGAAAGGGCAACATTTTATCTTAGTCTTTCATCTATAGACTTATTATTAATGTATAAAACAGTTTAACTGAAAGCTTTTGTATTTTTTCAAACTGCTGTTTATGTTGATAAAGCTAATTCATTTTTTCTAACCGGCTTGTTACGTTAATATTTCTGAGGATTATCAAACAATTACACGGAGTCCCGACCGATATTTATCTTTGTATCTTTAAATCTTCACCAGATCCCCTCTTTTCCTTTATCCATTTCACAATACATTTAATAAATGATTTGATCAAAGCAACCTGAGTCTTTATTCATCATTTGTCTTTCATTTAAAGACGAGATATAATAATAGTAATAATCACTGTTACGGCTCCTGTTGTGACATATGGTATTTAGCGTGTTATAACGCTACATGTCATCTAGTGTTATATGTTGTAGAGTGTTAATAACCAACAATGAGCCATTTTAACGTGTTTATTTCACACTCTTTGCACACACGTGTTGGACGGCAGCTCCTCTCAGTACCCGGAGGTGAACAGCAGGGGGGGCCAGTCCCCCGGCTTTTG